ATCTAAACGGTGAAAAATACCGTCCCCAAGATATATCACCAATTAACATTTTTAGCTTTGTTACACTCAAAAATGAGATCCTCGATTTTCTAGGATGGCTCTACTACATCTTAGAAAAATTGACTATTTTATACGCAATGTTTAACTTTATTGGATTTCTTTTCTCACTTTTAAAAGGAATCTACAACACATGTGCTATACACACACAAGTAAACAGACAAGCAAGCGTAGCACGCATACTCTTTGCAGGATTTTTTGGAATCTTTTCTACATCTATAAACAAAATTCTTTTAGACGCACAAATAAAAGAATATAACACAAAAATAGCAACACGACAAAATACATACGACGAAGAACATAACAATGTAGACATAACGCCAACGGCACCACAATTACCACCCCTACCAAATAACCATCCACTATCCCTAGTCCCACGAAATTTTCGAAATCTAGCCATCACACATAATCCAAATTTTCGACTCACCACATCACAAAGTCCCATCCAACATATAATGACACACCAGTCACAAGATCAAAATACTTATGAACAAATTATTGAACAACCCCATACCACCGCTTTTCAGTCTCAAAATAATCATTTTTTTAGCCCACGATGAGCCGCCAACTTGGATCACTACATCGATCAAATTCCCACCCAACCAATCTTACCTCTCCAATCCCCATAATACCACTTTTTGCTTTTCCGCCACCCGATTATCCATCTAGTAATGTAACATCAGGCATGAATTCCGACACTAATTCACACATCTCAGTTTTATATTCCATCTCACAACTCAATAACCCGAATATTGAAACCCCCGATGAATTTGCCGACTCAGAACCATCCCCATCCAATAATTTTCATAACTCTTCTAATTTTTCTCAACCCCCTTTTCAACCCATATTATCCAATAACCCTGACCCAATCACCCCCACACCCTCTTATGCTTCCCAAGTTACCCCAACCTACTCCTCATACCATTCTGACCAATCATCTCATTCTCCAGACACCCCCCGAATCTCCCCAGAGCTAGATAATTTTATCACCCTCCAACAACAACCCTACCACCTTAATACCCCAACCATAAACCAAATCTCCTCCACAATAAATTCATCCAACCCCCCTACCCCTACACCCTCTTCAAATTATACTGAATCATTAGCACCATCATCCACATCAACTGAATCTTCACTCAACACTAATAGAGCTTACCGCACTTTTAAAAGAAAGTTCCCCAACCATCCTTTCCCAACAAAACCAGGAACAGCCCGTGAATACATCAACCACCCCAAGCATACTAACACAAAAGAATTTTTAGCCATCACCTTACCCTCATTTCCACAATACACCTTAAACACCCCCCACGACACTAACGAAACACGCAACTTTGTAGATGAATACGTTTTGATGCCCACTCTCTCTTGGACCTCATATTATCATTTCACTAACCCTCTTTGCTTACCTTTATCTAACACTCACATCGATATAGAACGAAATAAGGACATGCTATATCAACTCACTACACCACTAACCGCTAGACAATTTACTTACGTTGGATATAAAAAATCACTAAAAACACACACTGCACCTAGAGCTAACGAATATACACTCGAATACTATGATCACAACATCATCAGAGCTAACCAAGATCAATTCTTAGACGAGGATCGCTTCGCTAATCCACAAATTACCGAGAAATTTTTCATCAAGACACCATATATATTTACACTAAACATCTTCGACCGAAAGTTTGATCACATTATTTCAGAAGCACTAACAGACACACAAGCATACGAAAGTTTTAAAGAACGCTTCCAAATGTTTTCACTAACCTTTCATTTCCTTGCACCACACGAAAGAGATTTACACTGCTCACACGATATTATGTTGCGCACTAAACAAACCCACACATATAGTTATTATCGCTTCATCCAAAATCACTTTGACCTACACACACCCTCTAGACAACCACACCATCGCTTTCAATTCCTTAATTCCAAATACACTTCACCATTTTTCCTAAATTTCACATATTGCATTAAAGATACTAACCTTCATGGTACTCTTCGCAATTATGATCCCATAACCCAAATGTACATCTTCTGTCCCATCACCAAGACCTTCAACGCCGAAGAATCCCGACCCTTCCTTATCCCGCACGAGTTTGTACAACCTATAGAAATCCCAATTTTAGAATTCATCCACAACACTAAATTCAATCACAAATTATATAATCTAATCCAAAACACACCTTATGAGTTTGCAGTTGGCACTGAAGAACTAACCACTATCAAGGCACTTCAATTGCTTTGGCCACTGCTTCAAACTAAAAATATCATCCGCATCTTAGCTAAACTACTAACAACTTCCGATCTCATCCACGACATCTTCCCCCATGGTTTTTTCCCCGACGACTAACAGGTAAGTATGAATTAAATGAATATTACTAACTAATTAAAATATTAAAAAACTCACCATACTTTATCCATGTTTTCTTTAGATTTTTAGCCTTCATCCGACAATCACCTACAAAAACCACAAAAGACAAATAAAAATCGCAAATTTCATCAAACAGATTTCAGAAATTCTATTAATCTCTTACACTTATAAATTTATAAATTTAATACCATTGCAGTAAATTCATTTCTAAAATTTTTCCCACAAGCAGTAAATCTAATTATGATGAAAATTTGTAACTTAAAATTCCCCCATAACTAGCAGTAAATTTCCAAATTCTATGCAGTAAATTAATAAAATGCAAATGCAGTACTAACCTTTTGATATTTTCATTCATTCGCACAGAAATTCTATCCACACTCGCACAGCTCGCCCACGAAGAATTGTTTAAAATAATGAATTTCAGTTTCAAGTTTTCACACTCAACAACTCTAACATATAATAACATGTTTCAAACCTTCCTTTAACCCGGTTGGAAAGGAATCATATACTAAACAAAACTAACCAACGCAGCTTACTAAATACCACAAATCATAGAATAACAGCATGACTAAGAAAAGGAAACCAACGGTACCCAAACCGGATTAACCCAGTTTAAAACTGGATAATTTATTCTTTTGAAGACTATTATAAAGTCTAAAAAAGAAATAATAAAACACAAAAAAGTCGAAAGACAAACCCATACCACGAACAATTTGCTTTTTGGAAAAAGGACATAACCAACAAGACATAAGAAAGACCACAACAAACCCAACATAAAACGTTGTCACATAACAGGACCCCTCATAAAAACCGCATGAAATCATACTCCCACTCCTGGCCTAACCCACCAGGAAGGACGTCCTGAGCATGCTCTATAGCCGGCCTAACCCACCGTGCTACATCCACGCTTTGTGACCACACCTCTATTTTTAATAAGAGCTACTCAAGTGTGAGTAACTCTTCAAAATAACCGAACTAAAACAAAAAGCTTTTGTGAAAACAACTAACTAAAATCATAATTAAAAAATATTAAACTAATAAATGTTTTATAAAATGTAAATTACATTATGCAATACATAGATCAGAATACAACACCAAGGACGAACATCTAAAGATCCCACTACACTCGAGAGAGAATGACCAACCACAATCGATATGCCACTCACAATCACAACTCAAAGGATTTAGAGTACGACTTGACTTCGCAGAAAAGGACTTCATTGAACTAGACCAATGACCACCTCGATGTTCAAGTATACGTACAGATCCGAGTAACCAGGCATCCCCTCCACGCACAATCTCCACGCCATTCCCAAACTAGATCAGACACAAAAAAAGTTCTCCACGCAGAACAGAAAAACCTGACATAGCAAACCATTCTGAAATCAGATTTGAGTTTGTTGCAAAGACTCAGTCGTTGTCACTAGAAGACACAACGTCTTATGTCTCTAACTCCAGCTTCCTGGAACTTCTTTAACAAAAAGGAAACAGAAGAAATAAGATGTTCGCCAAACACCAACGTCCATCATCCATCCTTCGAATTGCAGAAGAACTATTCTAAAAAACTCTGTAAAACCCGGATGGGTGGAACCTGATCTAAACTACATTTTATGATTGGATAATTTAGATATTTTACCAATGTAAAGTATTTAATATTAACCAATCATGATCCATCTAACTAACAACCCACTTATTTGTAAGTGCTGAAGTTACTTGTAATTTCAGCACCAGAGAGATTTGAATTTAACTTAGAAATTAGTTGGACTCTCCCGAGCACTTCAGCAGCCGCAATAAACCAGTATACCCTAGATCTATTGAGCCTAGCAGAGACTAGTTAAACAACCTGAGACTAGATAGTATAAGAGTAAGATTAGGATCGGTATTAGACTAAGAAGTTGCACGAATCTATCCGGCCGAAAATAAGATAGCGTGACGAGCAGACGGTGTACCCTATCCGAAATTACTCTATGAGTTAACCAACTCGGACCTAACTCAAGTTGAAGGTTAATTAACTTCGTTCAGATTCGTTGATCGAAAAGATGTTGCCAACAATTTGTCAATTAACTACATGCATACAGGGGCGCAAATATATACTTTTTTTTAAGGTGAAGATGGCGCGCCGAAAAAACGCGATTTTTTGGTTAAAATTTTTCAAAAAGTGCCTAAAAACGACTTTTTCGATCTGTTTTTTTGTTCAAAATTTTGCCTGCAGCGCAAAAAATTTGGCCGAAACAGGGACTGTTTACTGCTATGGGACAGCTTGAAATATTAAATTGGTTGACTTAAAAAAAGATCGACAAAAATTTCGAAATTTTTTTGAAAATCTGCCTCCCCTCGAGAAAATCCTAGATCCGCCCCTGCATGTATAACTTAACTTGTGTTATGTTCGCGCTAAACTCTTATGACTCCAGTTTTAGGGCTTTATCCGTCAGTTCTTATGAAATTCTGATGTATTTTAGGTTATCCGGCACGAACAACGCCGAATAGTCCTCTTTCAAATTTTGCAGCCCCCCCCCACCCCGCCTCCATTTGCTGATGTTCTTCTTCGGTGGGTACTTACGAAACTGCGGTGTATCTCGTGCCAACCAAGCTGGTCCAGACAGGACTTGACGACAGCCGAGTTGGTCCTGGCACTCGTAGTGTCCACACACACCAGCGGTCGACTGCCCACCCGCTGGAGCCTAGCGGAACAACAGGGATCAGTGGCGTGTGAAATTCGAATCTTCGATTTTTAGTCTAGATTAGTTTTTAATTTCAACCACAGAGTATTAAAGATTTTTGACGACGGACAGGCTTTTATTTTTTGTATACCTGTTCTTTTTTGCACAGAAGATGAAGTATATCACTAATGAGTTTAGTCGAAAGATTTATATATTTGTATTTGTAGTTTATTGCTTCAACCTGATTGGTTCAAATTGATTGTATAAAAAAAATCAGTACTCCTCAGAAATCTTCTGTTTTAATTCTTACTTGGCGTCGAAGTCAGGAGAACGCGTTTCCTCGTCCAATTCTTCCTTGTATTGTTTCAGCAGACTGAAAGCCTCTCCCCCAAATGACCCCCTGCTGTCTCTGTATTTGTTGTCTCTTCCCCCTCTCCGTTTCTTCTGACCAGACAAAGTGTTATCGTCGCTCCAATCCACCGATCCAGAATTTCCCATGATATAAATAAACTAATTGATTTGCCAGTTGTAAATAAAAATATTTCCTAAGATGAAAAATTTGGTCAATAAAAATGGATTTCAATAATGAATTTTGAAGAAAAAGATTGGAATGAAAAGAAAATTGGCAGAGTTTTGTGTACGAGATCAAGGTTCACGTAGCTCATTACTCAATTTCTCCTGTAGTTAAAAACTAATTTTGAATAACTATTCATTATTATTCAAAAAAATTTTATGCAGCTTATGCAGCCTATCATCCCAGGTAAATAACATTTAGTTATTTGATTAGAAAAATACAACTACATTTTTTCTAGAAACGGTTAATTTTTCCAATAAAGAGGTTTAGCATGCCTTGCACTAAATCCAAACTAGCAATGTTTTTAATGTTTACTAAAACGTGAGTTTCATTCTTGCAGCAGACTAAATATGGTTTTACGCTGTGTTTTTGGTGTGAGCTCAAATTAGCTGATAAATCAGTTTTATCTTTGTCATCAAAAACAAAACTAAATGAAGCTAGATGTATCAAACTGTGTTATAAGTTTTCACTCATCTTTTTTTGGTGTGTACTTTTTGATAACTTATGTTTAACCATGCTGCTCTTGCGTCATATGAACAAAACGATGAGTTCGATGTAAAATTATTTGAGAGATATTAACAAAAAAAAACGTTCATCTTTTTTAAAATCGACTTACTATTTACTAACCTGGTGATAAATTTACGTTTTTAGCGCAACAAATAGTCTCCGATGTTAAAAGTCTCTGATTTTAAAAAGACATTCCAACCTCAGGTGTGCGGAAGAAGTTTTGACTAGAATGGTTGCATAGACGGACAGAGCTCAGCCCAAAATCAAGGTGCGAAAATAGACCTTGATTCAAAAACAAGTTACTTTTTCATTTTTTGAGCGGTTACACTGCGCGGTTTACAAAAGACGAATATGCAGCACTGCCTACGTAGACGATAGACACAAAAAAAACAAAGAAAGAAAGAAAGAAAGAAAGAAAAATTTTTTTTATTTTATTTCTCCAAAAATGAATTTGTAACATCAATCAATTTAAAAACATACACAAATTGGAGAGCATAGATAACAGACAAGCGTTTCTAATGAGAATCTATCCATGTCTGGTTTGTAAACAATAAATAAATTATCAATAGAAGAGGAAAAAAATCTAAATTAACTTTTCCTAATTTAGGAAAAAAACTTTGTACGCAACTTGAGTATATTATTCATATTTTCAAAAAAAATTATCGCTTTTTTTCTGTGTTTTTATCGAAAAAACTAAAATTATAAAAAAAAAACGCGATTTCTTGATAACTACGAAGAGTTGGAACGTCATAATTTGTGCCCCAATTTGCAGCTCTGAACCACGGCCTGGTACAAGTTAACCCTGGATTTTGATAATTAGGAGAGTGAAAAAAAATCATGCAACTAAGTTGTAGTTTCGAAAAAAATTAACCAAAAATTGATTTTTTTCCTACAATGTTCAAAAAATTAATTTTTTGGTGAAAGGAAAGCACTTGTTTTGGACGCAATGACTGAAAATCAACTGGCAAAATCCTATTTTTTTGAAGATTGTTGAGGAGTTTTGTTCCCCGATAAGTTAGAGAGTGTTTTTCCAACTGGATAATTTTTTTTTAGTTTAAAAATCTTTTTTTTTCAGTTAGTTTTTCTAAGAGAATTACTGAAAGAGAACAGCTCATTAGGAAAAACTTCTGAATGAAGATTTGATAGCGATCTCAGTAAAGTTTCAACAATCTGTATATGAACAGTTTGTGTACTGTCAACGTTTTTTGTTTTGAAAGTATATCAGAAACGTTTTCGTAACTTTATCGAAAAAAAAAAATCAATCGAATTATCCTTTTCTATAAAAAAAAGCGCTCTTGCAACCATTCACTATGATTTTTTGATGGATATCAGACCTTACCTTTGATTCATAATAATTAAACATATCAGAGCTAGGCACGTAATGCCTTATCTTAGCAATTATTCAACACGTAGCTAGTTTCTCAAAAAATCAATGTGAAAAGAGAATATTTACTCGTTATCAATGTTTAATCCTAATTATTTCTAATTTACTTCGCAGCTCCAATATGTCTTCGTAGCTAGTTTCTCAAAAATCAAAGTGAAAAGAGAATCTTTACTTGTTATCAAGTTTTAATCCTAATTATTTCCAATATACTTCGCATTCCTAAATTAGCACTTTCAGACAAAATAGTGTCATTAGAAGCGCTTTTCCTCGTAAAAATATTTTGTTTAGTTTTTTCATTTTAAGTTAAAATCTATTTGCAGCTGTGATATTGCTATGCTACGAGTAGGTAAGAGCAAAAGAAAATAATTGACACCATTTAATTCTGTCTTGTTGAATTGCTTAGTTTGTTAGAGATCACGTTCATGTGTCTTCTACGATCGCAACCGTCCAAATGACTGTTACGTTTGGCCTGCATGGATGGCCTTGAATAATACTAACAATACATAACAGAATGTTAATAACACTTTATCCAAGGTTACTGTGCAACAGTACTACACGGTACCACATTCCCCTGAGGACAACAAAATTTTATATAAAACCTTATAAAATTTTATAAATAGTATATAAATCTCAGTTTACTAAATTGTTTTCATTTTAGCTTAGTTTTCCTTGCTTGTTTTATTCATCACTTCCGCTTTGTTTTTTGCAGCGTTCCACGATCCCGACTCATCCAACGATGTAGCTCCGAATTTCCTTTTGAACAAATGTCTCTCTAGTAAGTCAAACGTGTTGTTCTCCAATGTTGTTTCTTTGTTATTGATGTTCAACTTTGTAGGCCTCAAGTGCTGCCAAATTTAGCTCTGTTACATCGTCGTCACAACTAATCAACTTTACTGAGTGTGATACCGGGCTGCCGTATCTCTTTGGACCCTGGTTCTTTGTTTGTCGACTGCTTCGTATGACTGTCGTTGTATCCTCTTCTTTGTCCGACTCGTCCGCAAATACTTCCGGGCCATTGACAACTGATTCCGCTGGTTGAGTCAATAGTTTTTCTGCTTCGTTTTGTACCCCTCGGGTCAAAACCTGGTTTGTGATTTCTTCCCATTCTTTTGTTGTCATATTGTTATTCTGGAATGTGTCCAGAATTTCCTTTTCACTAGTTTGCCGTGTGATCCTTTTACTCACTGGAGCTTCTTGCGGTGCAGACGACTCTATGTATACAGCTTCATTACTCGTATCCCGCTTCTTAGATTCTTTTGCTGTTTCACAGTTTTTGTTGTACGTGGCTCTTGCGTCTTGGTTTTTCCGGATCTTGCACTTTGGACCAGTGGTCCTGCCCTATTTGGCTTAACCTTTTTTCCTCCTAGATTTAGGCCCCCGTCCGTCTTTGGTTCTTTTGACGTAACTACGTTTGGCGAGTTTTGAAACTTGTCCATTAGTCGATTGTCTTCTATCTCCTGATCGGTTGGCCCCTGGTCTTTCGCATCATGTTATTCAGCCGACTCACTGTCTACGTCTTCATGATGTGATGCTGTCTTCTGTTGTTTTCTCCTAAGCTCTTCCCCCGTTGGGCTCCTCTTCTTCTCAGAGCTCTGAGCTTTGGGCTGTGTATGCAGTTTTGATCTCGCTATGTTGCTCTTTCGATATACTGCACCAGCAGCAGTTTTGATTGTTGACGGTGTCTCTGCCACTATTTTGTCTTTCAGCGGTATTGTTAGGGCCTTCCCACTCGTTCTTTGCTCATGTTTTCGGAGGAAGCTTCCTGACCAGCTATCATCCGCTGTAGTCTGCTTGTCTTCGATAAATCCTTTTTGCCATGAGTATAGGAGTTCCTTTCTCAGTTCGGGATTTATCGTGCTCGTTTCATCTACAATTCGTCGTAGTTCGCTATCTGAGATATCCCGTCTGGTGACATTCCATCTCGCATTGGCCTCTAGTAGCTGCTTTAGTTCTTTCGCCCTAGCTCTTTCTTTGGCCGCCGCAGTGTTGCGTAGAAACAGTGGGCTGACGTCCCGGCTATTCTGTCCTTTTCGGATAATTTTTACATTTTCCCTGGATTGATCGATGCATTTCTTCAACTGCGATGCTGTTAACGCCGATCTCTCCAAATGTTCTTTATCTAAGCGATCAGATTCCTTCAGAAATTTATCCCTTACAATTTTAAACTCAGTTTTAGGTAATCGACCAAAGTGCGCTTCAAACGGGGACAACTTTATTGTTTTCTGTTTATTCCATCTTAGGTCCCTAATTATTGTGCTCAAGCACAATTTAATAGATTGTACTTTTTCTTCGAGTAGCATTACTCCCAATCTTTGTTTAATGGTTTGTATCGTTCGTTCGACTACTCCACATCCTCGATGATCACCGACTGGACAGAATTTTTGAAGAATATTATTTTCAGTGCAAAATTTTTTCATTGATTTTCCTTTAAACCCTGAAAACTAATCCGTTTTAATCGATTCTGGTATTCCATGTGTGTCAGTGTAGATACGTAGAAATTTTATTGTTGATTTTCCCCCCGTAGATTTCGTAACTTTGACTGACGGAAATTTTGAGTATCTATCAATAGCAACTAACAAATATATCTTCTTTCCCTTATGCTCTTCAAGTGGACCCGCATAGTCTAATTGTAACTCTTGACCAGGCTGTGTCAACTGTGGAAGTGGTTTGGCCGAATTTTTTGGGATTATGTATTTAGCATTCTTACCATAACGAGTGCAACTTCTACACTCTTCGGCCATATTGACTATGTCTTTGTGCATGTGTGGCCACCATAAGTAATTGGAAGACTCCAACATCGCTTTTTGGCCAGGATAACCTTGATGAAGTCGCCGAAGCACCGCTTGTCTCAGCTTTTCAGGTACGGCTAAACGATTGTCCACCAGTAGGCAGTCATCAACTACCGACATCTGGTGCCACAGAGGATTGGTGTATGGACCCATTAGCTCGAATCCGTGTCTATCGTTCCGTTCCACCACTCGCCTGAGCCGATCCATCCAAGTATCCTCTGATACTAGTTCCGCCAGTAGACTTTT